ACAATCTGTTAAATCTCTTAATTCACACAGAATTTAAAGCATGATTTTAATTTTACTTTAATTAGATGGTGTGCTGCTTTGTATGTGCCGCATCCACCAAGCTTCAGTCCTGGTGCATGTTCTCCTGTGTCATAACCCTTTACAGTAACTGCCTGCAAATACATAAGAGTATTTAGAGTGAGTTAGTCTCTGAGCAGCAGAGCTAAAGATTTTGCTGCTGTGCTATGGACTCGAATCCTCTGCTCTCCTGCATGGGCTGTTTCTCTATCCTTTCCAGTTCGCTTTTTCTTTCACCTCCCCTTGACTTCAATGTACAACCCCACTGCTTAGTTGATAATATACTGTGGTTTATTGAAAACGATGTGTTGGTGACTGTAATTTCATATCTTAAAACTTTGTCCTTGTGCAGAATCTGGCCACTGAGATTTTGGGGCAAAGTGGCTCCCTTCTCCCATTTTTAATCTACTTTCCTGTAGTGTCATTTCCACAGAATTTTGGGAACAGGACTGTGTAATGGGAGTGGTTGGAAGGAAAGCATTGATAACTTACCCAGGGGTCACTAAAAGTAATCCAGTGTTTCACACGATCACCGAACTTCTCAAAACACAGATTTGCATAATCATTGAAATAATTTTTCATGCTTATATTTTGCCAGCCACTGTACCTTTTGTGGAGAACCTTTGTAAAGAAGAATGTCAAGAATCAATAATGCTACTTAGAGTTTCACCTGCCTGTTAAAAAAGACTTACTTATATTTCAGTAGCTCAGATTTTTTGATCTTCAGTGTATATAAAATGCAGATTAATAGAAAATAATTCTAAGCATACATAAGCATGCAACCATCTTTAGTCATTTTTCTAACTACATATAAATTTCCTATCAGAAACATTTATATTAGCATTTCACTTACTTAAACATTGTCTAACCTGTGGAAGATCCCAGTGGTAGGGGCTCACAATAGGGATAATGTTGTTTTCCAGAATACTATTAATTGTATCATTGTAGAACTGTATTCCCTTCTCATTCACTTGCTCTGCTGATGAAACACATGGACAAGGAATTACCTGGATTAGTTTTCAAGTAGCTGGAAGAATAGAAACCTGAACATTTTAACAGAGGCATTTTACGTTGCAGTCATGGGTGTGCTTTAACAGATGGGTAATTGTTAAATTCTATTCTGCAGACAAAGAAATAGAAATCTGCTTAAAGGCAGTGTTAAACAACTATGGAATGTCCACTAATGCTGATAACGTGGTGGAAATGTTTTGCTTACTTTTAATTCCAGTGGCTATAATCCGAGGCCATGAGATAGAGAAGAGATAGTGATTCACTTTCAACTCCTTTAATAACTGAATGTCATCCTGTGAAAAGAAAACCCAATTAACATACCTCATGTCTAAGCAGGGTGACTCTACAGTTACTCATTTGTCTTAAATAGTACTGGATGCAGAAAATCTGGAGGAGTTGCCCAAAAAAAGAGGATTCTATCAATTATTTTCTACATTTGCTTTGAGATGATGGCTCTTTCTACTTGTGTGCTTCCTTTTTAACTATTTTTTCCTTGACTCTAAAGAAGTCCTGTAATGTTTTGTGTTAACAACCGTGGAAGCATGTTTTCACCATCAGGACAGAAAAATGAGTTGAGGTATTCTGCAACATGATTATCAGAATTTGCAATGACAATGTTTTAACAAATATAAATCTGTAAGTCTTGACTTCAGACCTTTCAGCTTAGGCACAAAACCACAAATCTAGGCTTTCATTTACTGTCTTGTCCTGGAGTTAGCACAAAGAATAAATTCAGTAATAAGTATCATTACGTGGCTCCAGAATGTTTCTAAAGGTGCAGTTCCTCTTTAGCAGTACCTTAACTTTGTAGTAGCCATCACATGCTGAATCTCCTGTTTCATTTCTGAACACTTTCCCTTTCTTGTGAGTAAAAGCATCCCAGATACTTGGTCCTTTCCCATCCTTGTCCCAGGCCCCTTCAGTCTGGTATGCAGAACTTCCAACACCCCATAAAAACCCTGAAGGTAAAAAGAAGTGAGTCAGGATCTCAACATCTCCATGCAATGGTCTTCATACTAAATTTTCATGTGAGACACCTTCAGAGCTGTGTGTGTACTGAACATGACTCTGTGCCTAGTGAAGAGGCCAATGTTTTCTATGTGAAACTTTAACAGTGCATAAAAAATGATTGAAAATGTGATATAGACCAAAGGGATCCTTTTCTCATGCACTGGAAAGGGAATCTAATTCTTTCACATATTTAAATCTGTTATTTTGCAGTATTGAGGAAGTGCATTGATAGTGTGGCAGAAATGCCTTGCTGTCAGAAAAAATCAGTTTCCCACATTTCTGCTAGTTTTCATGGGGTTTTATAGTGATTGCAAGTGTAGTTGTTGTTACATAAAACACAAAGATTCTAGATTATTTTCCTAGTTTTATACAAAAGGACATGATTAATCCATTTTATAAGTCACTTAAAAATGTGAAAACAAATCAGTGCCTGTTTCTTCTTAGTTTTGGTTGAATGAAATGTGTGTGTGTAAATGCATGTTGAAAAAAGAACGAGGTTTCATAAAGCAGTACTCAAGTGTGGATTAGATAATACTAAACAGGTTGGAACAAACGCAATACAACTAGTTCACTCATGTTAGTTTCTTAAGTTAGCTGCATAACAGAGGATGTGTTTAGTTGATAGGTCTTCACTGTTTGTAGATAATTAGTGAAAAAAGAAGAGTTCTCAGGTGTGATTTGTCACTCTGTGCATCTTAATCACAGACAGGAAAGGGAGATCTGAATATAAAATATTACTCTTCGCATTTACTCAGAGTTTACTGGTTTAAGTGACTATATGAAGAGCAGAGTTAGGTGAATCCCTGTATCCCCAGAGCTAGATGCTCATGATTTTAAGTATGCATTCTGCAAGCACCTGAATGTTTCTGCCCTTTCCCTGGAAGGACAAAGAAACCCTTTTAGTAGTTTCCTTGTGCAAACACACAAGTCGATCTAGAGCATTATAAACCCCACAACCAACCATAGTTCAGAAGTACCATTAGGAAAAGTGCCATAACAGAAGGAGCCTGAGTTATTCTTTGTCCACTGGAAATTCTCAGCTGTATCCAGCCATGTTATTGACACAAGCATATACCATAGTCTCAGAATGTAAGTATTCATCACTCTTAATTTCCTCACTGCCAAGTGTCCTCTGCCAGTTCCCACCTGGTAAAATAGAAGAGCATTGTCAAGTGTTGCTGCCCTACAAAGTAGGCTTAGGGTGATCTAAAGGGAAGAGCTTATTTTTTCTGATGAATGGGTACAAAAGCAGTGCTTGGGTGAAGTGGAAGATGCAGTTAAGCTTCTGGCAGGGTGATGAAATGAGGGAAGAATGAAGTGCAAAATTAGAACTATTAGAAGCATTCTCTGTATGTTGGCTATAACATTACTTATCTCTACTATATTCTAAAGTCTCCTTGTTGGAAGCTGTTTTGTTCTGAATGCCACTGTCCCACTAGTGTCAGTAAAACTCTGCAAACTCACTCACAAAAAGTGATTGTGAGAAGCAAGAAATAAAAGTTATTGTGCCTCTAGCATCTTGCCAGCTACATATGTAATGGAAACAAACCTTGTAGAAGTTGAAAAGGAAAATTAACACTTGTAGGTGTTGCAGTTTTAATAATTGCAGCTTTTATCTTGGTGATGTCCCTTTTATGCAGCTCCAGCATCAACTTACAATTTTAACTGGGTGGATGACCAATTCTATCCATTTTAAATAAAGTTGTAGAAGGGCTTTGTAGGACTGTATCACTTTCCCCAGGTGTATACATTTCTCAAAAGACATGTTTAACTTTCCTGAGCTTCTGTTGGTGGATTTGAAGATGGGGTTAGAAAGTGAGGAAAAGTAGAAAAAAAATTAAAAACAATTTTATTTTGCATTGCAGTGTTGTATAAAAAGTAAATACATCTGGCGCTTTGGAAAGCAAGCTGGGATTACAGGATTGGACATGTACACTGAGACAAGCAGTTAACAGCCTTGAGCATCCCAAGAGCAGGTAAAAGGTCTGAAATACCACATCCTATAATTCTGATAGAAATAATTTCAGCACTTTAACAATTGCCAAGCACAAGAAATACATTTTTAAACAAACATGATTTTACAACACTCTGTATTGAAGTAAATAATCTAATTTTATGCACAGTTCATTGTTGCATATTCTATTAATCTTCAAATAAATAGTTGCTTTTTGGGACCCTTCATTGCTCTGGTTTTATGCAAAATACGAATACAGTAGAAGAAGCAGCTACCTGAATGGTGCAAAAAGGTTCATCAATAGTGCAAAGGTTCAAATAGGGCAGAAGTTTAAGCTTAAAGCTGGTGCTGTAAAACTTCCTTTTGACTCTTGTTCTATGGTAACTGCATTACCTCCTACCTTGATTATAGATTGAGTTGTTTGAATTTTCCCCCTATTTCTGGCTTACCTAGTGTTCTTCCCAATAGATGTGTCCCAGCCAGGAGATTCCTCTGAACTGCCAGAAATGTACCAGGGAATTCAGAATGAATTTACTTTCACAGGATAATTGCATGGAATTAATCTAGCTGTCACAGAAACTTGGGAGAAGCATCTAGTTGAAAACAGCATTTTGTTCACTTACAGCTAAAACAAAAAAGAACAATCCTTTTGTATTCACGGTGAATGCTGCAGGAAAAGGTTTAGCTTAACCATATGAACCTTTAGCAATGATTTTCCTTCGTAAGCAAAAATAGCTTTGCGAGTGATCTATACATTCATACATAATTGCACTTGCTGTTGAATGAGGTGTCTGTAGATATTTTTCTCTTGTCTGATGTCTGATTCTTAGATGGGATTTGGCAGAGAGATGTCACTGGGAGATTTTGTGAAGTCAGGAGTTTTGCATTTATGTGGCATAATGTGGAATCAGATATTCAGAATCCAGGCTTGAAAGTTAATATACTTTTTATTTATTTTCTTGTTTCTAGAAGAAGTCCTTATGGTGGTATCTTTGTGGAAAAAAACAACTCTTCATGTCTTAGAGGTCAGCTGTTCAGCTTGAGCTATGGCTGTTCCTTCTAGTTCTGTGAGTTATCATTCAGTCTTCCTGTATAGGTACTATTCACTGAAAGGACTATGAAACAAGCAAACCCATTGCTAGGGCTTGCTGAGCTGAAAACATGTGGGTTTGGACATTGCTCACCTGGCTTCCAGGAATGAAAAGCCTTTCTCTGCTGAGAGGGAAGAGGCTGAACCGCCCAAGAGATAAGTACTGCTTCTGTGCAGGAGGGCTGAGGTAGGACAGAGGTGATGCAGAGGGAGGCTCGGGACAACACTCATGCAAAAAAGATGTGTGAACCTATCACCAACCCACCCTAAGCAAAAGGGTCTGTAAGCAAAAGGAGGCTTGCAGGGGAAGCAGGAAAAGCACCAGTTCTGTTGGCTGTAAGGAGCTGGGAATTCTTTTTCTCCCGGCTGCAGTGCACCCATGTAGCTGCCTAACACTTGGGCATTCTGTGGGTGGGGGACTCCTGACCGTGGAACCTGCTATCTTAGGCCTTTGTTGCTGTACAGTTTGTAAACAAATTCCCGTTTATTTATTCAGCTACTCAGGTTTGTCTTTTTTTTTTTAGAGCAGTACTGGAGCCCTCTCGTGGTCAATGTCATGAAAGAGCATTAACATTAAAAGTGTTCTTTGGTAGTGTAAGATAGGTAATGGCACCACAGTGTATACTGCCTCTGATCTCAGAAGTGAAAAAGTGCATTGAAACTCTAGAGGGAATATCCTCAGCAGCTCCTTGCTCATCCATGCAGGTCTCTTGGTACACGTGCTTGACTTCCTGCCAATTAGGATGGACCTTTTTCAAGCATAGAGGAGGTGATCCTTGAAAATCAAAGATTTTTTGATTTGTGATGCACATAAAGGGCAGTATTTATACACAGGTAAGCCTACTGCAGGTGAGTCTGGGGCTTACAGCACATTTTAAAGTATTTGCTATACATTTGGCATGCTTCATCTCTCACACAACTGGGTAGGGCAGGGTGCAGGAGTCACAGCACTGCTGTATGATGCTAGAGTTGTTGGGATGATTAAGGGTGTGCATTAGTCATTCAGTGTTAAATCACAACTGCATCTCAAAAACAAAGGCTTTGGCGTGTTGGAGAGACTGACTATTCAGAGAACTGACAGTGGAAGCAGACACATATCACCTCTCTTTACTGATGAGGAGCACAGGGAGTTTGTGTCAAGCCAGGGTCTGTACTCAGACCTCTTGGCTGTCTGCCCTGTGCCATAGGTACAAGCCAGTCTGCTGCTTTAGGGACTAGGTTATGCATCACTGAAGTCCTTTGATGAATTGTCACTGACTTCAGTGATCAGCAGGAGCAAGCCTTTGGTGTGCATGAAAACAGGATTCTTTCAAACTCCTTTTAACAGGGACTGCTAGAAACGTGACACTGTTCCACTCTAAGTTGTGCTTACATGGGTTTTCTTCTCTTAACACAATCTTATTCTGTGATGTTGATTCCCAGTTTCCTGCAGAAAAGCCCAACTTTACAAAGAAAAAAAAATGTCATGAGATATTTACATTGCTACAACTTGGTCATTTTTTCCTCTTGTTTCATCTTGGAAAAGTTTTATTAGGAGCAGCTTTTAAAACGTGCCAGAAACACATCAAGGCTATAAAATCTCTTACTTTGTTTTATTGGTTAAAAGAATGTTAAAAAAATGTACTCAGTGGAGTCCATCCAGAATTGCCAAGTGACTGCAATAAAGTAACCTGGAAAGTGGGTTGTACAACTGGCTTCCTACAGCGAGTTGTGAAGTCAGAGCAAAGTCACGACTGACTCGGGTCACAGTTTATCTGCTGTTCACTTGTCTGCAGCCTGGGGTGGATCTTCATCCATAAACGGTGTAGATATTTCTGTATTGTCTTGCTGTGGGATACTGTGTGATCGTATCACACAGACTTTGGCACAAACCCGACTGTATTAAAGGAACTGATACTTCTCCCACTTTATTTTCTCTCTGTCCTACACTTCATGTTGCGAAACCTCTTATCTGCAGATAGACAACCAGAGATGGAGTTACCCCAGTAGCAGATACCATGAAACTGGTGTTGATTTGAGTTTTGCTTTTAGCCTTTATGTTTTGCCTAGGCTGATGAAAAAGTAGAAGCTGTCCTTCCTAATTCCCTGGCAGCAATTCAGACAACTAGACCTAATTATCCTCGTACAATTATGACCTATCTCCCTAGCTTCCTGATTCCAGCACTCCCTTGCCAACCTTGAATAGGCCTTTTCTGTCTCAGAGAGAAAAATCCTTTCTTATTATACAGTGACCAGAAAACCACATAATTTTCCAGTGTGTGGTCTACTGCAGCTACTCTGAGATATTGGAGATTTTTCAAAATCAAAACAAAACCCACTTACAATTGTTCTTGGAACAAGAACACTTGTGTAACTGTACTTGTATTTTTCTGTGTTACAAAATGACTTTCGTGGCATTATGTTAGCTGTTTTTGGAAACTTTTTGTCTAATGTTCAACTGTACTAATGGCCTGGCCTTGCTTTTCAGAGAAAAATAACAAATTGGAAGTAATTGAAATGAGGAGGCCTTGCTTTACAGTCATGTTACTTTGACTCAAAGCAGTTGGGGGAATATGGTTGTTAATAGAGATGTTCAGAACTGTTTCTTCTGACCCAGTGAATTTGAAAGGCGAAAGGGAGTGTTGGAAATGTGGGAGATACATTTCATTGCCTTTCAAAAGAGATCAAGGACACTGACGACTCATTCTGCTCTAAAAAGCCTGGGTTTGAACATGCATAGATACACCAGCGTTGCCCAGTAAATTCAGAATAAAAACTGGCAACATCTCTATGCTTAAAGCCATTTTATTTCTTACATCAGTGCTGTTCTCCAGACTGTGGGGTCATGTGTGCATAGCTCTGTCCTACACCAAATAAACTCTGGGGGATCTGACCTTGTAATATATCTTTTCCCCAGCTTTTTATGCCATGGACTGACCTGGCCTGCTGACAAGACAAGCCTGCTTTCCTCTGGGTTACCAAGAGGCTCAAACCCCTTCCAGGATGCAATGCACCAAAACACTGGCTGGCACCATCAGCAGGATGTTACCGTGGAACTGTTTGGTGCCCAGTCTGACAGAGGTACCTCTGCTGGCCTCCCATTGATAGGGATACCAATCCTCTTGTAGCCTGGGAAATCTGTGGGCAGCTTCTGAAGACTGTCTCCATCTTAAGAACCACCCAGAAGTTTGGAAGATCTTGTGTTTGAACTGTGATCCCTGAGATGAGATCAAGGTAGGTAGCTCTGAAACTTACACCATATTCACTTAGCAGCTCCAACACTGTTATGAAAGCTAGTGCTATCGTAGTTTATGCCCACTGAGAGCACTGAGTAGCTGTTACCACTAACAACTGGGCTTTGTGATAATTTTTGGAAAAACTAAGCTATTTGAGAATCTGCCATCTCTGCTTTGCAAAGAAGGGTTGTAAAGATTGGCAAAGATGGGGTAAACCTGCACAATCTATTCTACTTGTATTAAAAGCTCAAGTTTAAAGACGTCATTTTCAAATAAGTTCCTAAATTGTATATTAATACTATTTCATGGTGCAGACAAGTGTACCACTGTTCTTCCAAATGGCCCAGACTAGTGAGACTGCACTCATATAGTCAAATGTACATATTGGATTTTGAATGCCCAAACTGAGTGGATGGTTGAAAATCCCAACCCCTAATATCTAATAAGTGACAGACGCTGCACATATTCCTGAGTGCAATGAAGAAGGTCACACAAGTTTGCTTCTAAAAATCACTTTTAATTTATCTTTTCCTGCTGACAGCTTCATGCTAAGAGTTGGCCTCCATTTGATGTGAACACTGAGAAGCTGCTGCAGGCTACCACTGATTGGAATTTACTTGTATTAGTCTAATTGCGTGCTCTGCCATCATCTGTTTGCAATCACAAAGAGGAAGCTTCTGAAGCTTGGGAATGAGGGAAAATGAAGTGTCTTAACAACTACAAAACATTGAGAATGCTTTTGGAGGCTTTCCCATCGATTTGTGAGTATGAACAAAAAGGCAGAGTTTTATTTTTATTGAATGTTCATCTTTACACTGCAGCATAACCAAAATGCATAGAAGAACTAGGAAGAGTTGTAATTAATAAAGGTCCCCAAGCACTTTAATTGATCATAGTAAGAGTTCACAAATTGATTTGGAAGGGGTTGAATTAGTTCATTATTTAATTAATTGAATTAGCTCATTACTAAAGTCACACAATTGCTCTTTCTATGGATCTTTAACCTACCTTATTAAACATTCAAACTCGGTGCTTCTGGCTGCCCAGTTTAACTGCCAGTTTTAAAACACACCCCTTGGGCATTTTATCTTTAATGCTACCCTAAAAGGTATGACCTTAGACCTTTCTCATGCAGCAGGAGACAGAAGCTGAGAGGAAGCGGGCAAATAAAGCACCTTAACAACTCAAGATTAGTTTTGCTTCTGTCAGGTCTAAAGGTTTAGGCTGGGGAGGAGCGTGCTACTTGCATTTAGCCGAGCTCCACCAAGAGGCAGCATTGCACAGCGCTGGAGGAGCTGGGGGCAAGCCAGGGGAGTGTTGGGCTGACCCTGTGATTGCTTCCTCAGTCCCTTCACCTGTGAGGTGTTTGCAATGCTGATCACCCTCCACCCTGCAGATCAGTTTGAAAAGTCCTGGTGAAAGCTGTTGCACAAGGTTCCAGTGAGTTGGAAGTCTGTTATTTATGAACTACTAATGCTAGTTTAGTGGTGGAGGTTTGTTTGTTTCTGTCTGGTCAGCATGCGGAGAAGAGCAGCAAAGGAATACAAAAGTACTCTGCAGCCTCAGGATTGGTGGCACTGGACTGTCGGGTCTGCAAGGGAAAGGAAGTGCGTACTCACATGAGCACAACCTGAGAGAGCTGTTTTCTCAACTGCTAGGTCCTCATTTCTTAGGAAAACTTTTATACTTGATGGGGAACGTATGAGGCTGAACCAGAATAATCCCAGTTCTAGTACAGCTGGGGTGAGCTCTTCCAGTGACAGTTGTTTGGTGGCAGGGCCTGGTTCTTCTTGTAGCTTGTTTATTAAAACAAGCCAGCAAGAAAAAAAGCAATGGCTTTTACTTTTAACTTGTCAGGGATAAATTTCAGAGATGAGGCCTTACTAGGACTCATTAGCAATCTTCAGCGGAGTTTTGTTGTATTATTCAAGTGAAATATCTCCTTCAGTGCTCTGCTGTAGCACAGCCCCCTTGTCCTGGGCACTGCCTAAGCAGTAGCAAGTCTGGCTAATTACCACGTGGCTTAGATGAGGTTCTGAGAGTCTTTGTCACTTTGTGATGTGAAGGGTTAAAATTTTGGGAGCCTTTTTTTTTTTTTTTTTCTTTTCAATTTTAGGCAGTAAAGATGTGAATAATGGAAATAATTCATTGAAACATTGCAATGAATCAGAGAATGCATTTATTAAAGTTGAAAAACCCTGAGCTGAGATTGAATCCAAGCTCAGAAAAGCATGAGGAGATGTAAGTAGAAGCTCTGTAAGATTCTCATCTTACACTTGACCAGATGTTGTCAATAAGATGATTATAATTTGTACCTCATATAGGATCTGTGGCAACTGTTACATCACCATAGCTTCCTCAGGCATGTGGGTGAAGCAACATTGCTTGTGTTTCTCAGTGGATTAGTGAGCTTGTGTGCATTCTTTTGACAGGCGTTTTTGCACTGAGAGCAATTCAGTGAGGTCACTTGAGAGCATCAGGTGGAGGGTGGGTAGTCTCAATCAGGCTGAGGGGGTGGGTGTTTCTAAACCAGGTGAAATACCAGTATCAGGTCTGTGAGTTCAATGCATTCTGATCTTTAGTGCCAATTTCTGCAAAAATGAACTAGTGAGCTAGTTCAGCACTCTTGAGTGTGTCCCCTTTCAGAGAGGAAGCACAGCTCATTGTATCTTGCTACTGAACTTACTCCTCCTTGAGTTCCCCATGTGTAAAAGAGGTCTGAAATACAACCTTCCTTCCAGAGAGACTGAACTGCAAACTGCTTTGTGATCCTCCTGCTAGAACAGAATAATTGCATCAGTGTCTTTGAGGAAGAGACTCTTTCTTTTCCCTGCTGTGTTTCTACAGCTCTTAGTTAATTAAGTGAAGTCCATGTCTGCAGTGGAAAATACCTGCTGTTACAACTGATTTGTATTGAGCTGTAGTGCTAATACCAGTAAAGAATAATGGTGGTTTGGAGGATGGACTTCCAATCTAGACAGCAGCATCCACTTCTGTCTGCATAAATTAAAGGTCTTGCCTTAAACTATGAGGGGTAACTTACATTGTGAATTAAGTATGTCTTTGTAAATCCAGAGCGGAAGACAGGCTGATAGTGGTAGTTCCAGTTAGGCATGATTGGTTTGGTTTTCTTAAAGTTTTTAAGCTTTAAAATAGCTTTGCATTAAAGAAACAAAACATTCTAACAAGCAAAACTGTTTTGATCCAGTGAGGTTGTAGCAGCACCAGTGTTTCAGGCAGCTGCAGCCTAGGGTAGTAATGGTGCTAAATAATACTTGGGATCATGTTTGTTAACTTCCTTCTTGCTACCTCAAATCAAATAAGAATGTTAGTTACACTCATTGCTGGAGTACTTGAATTTGAAATAATCCCAGCTGAGTTAACACATTTTTAAAAGAAGAGCTACATTCTTTACAGTGATCTTCCAGTTATGCCAAAAATACAAATTCCAAAATATATTTGTAATAATAATAATGCCAAAGCCTGCAGACATGCCAAGTTCCCAGTGTTGTGGATAGAAACTGTAGCATTGTGCATTTTCCTTTCAGCCATCGGATCCTCTGCTCTGAAGAGTATCATTGAGGAGCAGTTTGAGATAAGCACAGGGACCAGAAGAGTATAAAGAGCTCCTGATGGCTGTCAGAACAGTAAGTAATTGCTATATTTTCATATTTCCAATATATAAGCATTTTTCTCTAAGGCTGCAATGTAAAACAAGCAGCATGACATAGGGAATCATGAATTGATTTCTTGGAGAGCTTGTGCAAATAAACTTGAAAATTGTATTTCTCAGATGGGTTTCATACTGGTGCAGGAACTCGAGGTAATGTTTTTGTCCCCACAGAGATGATGTCTTAAAAGACGAGTTACTTGATTCGTGGCTTAGATCCAACTCAAAAGGGTGGATGCCAGTTATCTTGTTGCAGAACGATTGTGTAGTCCCTGAACTCAAGTTTATGTAAAACATCGCCTCTGGTTGATAACTGCTGAAAAAGGACATTGACGCTGTTGTGTTCCAACCAAAATCCTACAGACATACAGATGTCTTAGTTTTTTTGCAATTGGACATGACTGCTTTTTGGTGTTTAGGTGTGTATACGTAAATGCATGTGCACTTCTAAATAAGGGCAAAAGGAGGTAGGGAGTCATTTTTATTCTTTTTTCTTTTAGATTGCAAATTTCAGTGGGAATCTTCCCAGATCAAATGAACTGGGAATAATTGCATCCTAGCCTTACTCTGCTCCATTGCTTAGATCCATCCGAGCCCTTGCTTTTCATTTGCCCAGTGGTCTTAGAAGGAGGTGCTTTAAACCACAGAAACCAAGGTTTGCAAATGCTGTGGATGATCCTGAAAGGAAACAGTTGACTCCTTAAATACAGAACTCATGACAGTGGAAGTTTTGGAGCTCTCTCTCGGAGAAGTGGGGTTTTCTTACCATTGGTTTGCTAAAGACGGGAATATATTATACGCTGTATTACATTCAGATGATCTCATACTAATCAAAACAATCTTGTGGGACCTCTGATTCTGATTAAGCATTTGGGCTGAAGGGACCATGCTACCATCCTACCTCATTGGCAGGGGTTTTGTCAGGAGACATTTGTTATGTTTTTGAAGCAAATATTTCTGTGATAAGTGTTATATTGTAACCCACAAGGATATGAATAATCCTGTTTTCAGTGAAGAGTTTAAACTGCATGCTATAAATAAAACCAAGGCCACACATTGACTCAAAAAGAAATACTGAATAGCTCTGTTCATCCTGCCCACTAACTAGGGTGAGGCCATAGGGAAAAATAGTTTTTAATTGTATCTTACAGGAGAAGTGAATTAGGGCTACACAAAGCAACCTTGATTCTGGTGTTACCAGCTCTGAATACTTGACTTTTCCACCTTAATGTAGGTGGGTGGAGAGGTTGTCATCATTGTTTTGTTTGTCATTGTGCAGCTGTATTCCACTTGGAAGTACTTTGTGTTTTAAAATCTCTTCTGCTGGTACATTCCCTTTCCTTAGTCTCAACTGCTGGTTTTTAAACTGAGCTAGGAATAATGAATTCGCCCTTAAAAGGATGATTTTACTCATTGTGAAGTGAAGCTCGCAGCTGCCATCTTCATTTCTTTCTGGTCATAAAACTCCAGCCACCAGGCAAAGATCAGCATGTCTCTGAAAATGAATAGGCGCCCCAAGGACAACTGAGTAACCTCCACAGCAATTGTGTCGAGGTGACATCAGCACTCAGATATTTTCATCTTGGCTCTTCCAGCAATATCCAGTCAATAATGGGCAGTAGAGCCAGCACACACTGACTGGCTTTATTGCTCACCCACTGGGAACTTGTCTCTTTGTAAGAGACCTGCAAAAAGTGGTAGGATCAAAAACTAAAAACTGTGTTCCATTTTGAAGGACTTGCCTTTGAAATCCATGCAGTGCACTGCTGTCCTTCAGCAGAGCTTGCTTAGTGAGCGGTGCCAGGCTGGAAGTCAGCCTTGTGATCCCACAAGTTCTCTTAGCATTAAGTTCTCTGACTCCTGGGAGTCAGCATGGACATCAGTCTTCGTGGATCTTGGGTAGCCTTTAAGTGTTGTAAGGCCAACCACCACCTGAAAATCACTCCTAACATTGCTACTGACCCATTCTGAGAGGCCAAAATTTCATTGTATCTGTTGTATTCATTTTCCCAGTGTGGGATCTCATGGTGATAATGCCAATCTCCACTTTAAAGTGCTGTATTTTAGCTCCTAAGTTTTACTGATAATTCTCTAAGACCACTCATTCCTTTAACACCACCTGAAGGAATTCAAGCACTATGATCCCTACTTTACAAATGGGAAGGGAATGTACTGGACAGGATAAAAACTTGTTTTGTGCTTTCTTAGTGTAGCAGAGCTGGGACAGGAACAGAGAAATACATTGATGTTCTTGACCCTGGGATGTGGTAGCTCTCCTCTCCTGGGTTGTACCTTTTGGGGGGAAGGTATTTTTCCCCAGCCTCCTCCCCATCTCCTTACTAATGTCTTTCCATGTAGAAATAAAATTTGGAATCTGAGACTGTGCCTTCTGAAGTGGCTTCCATCTTGCTGTCTTCCTAAGAGAACTTTAACCTTTTTTGAATGATCATGTTCAGCTACATATAATTTCAATTCCATAAAAACCCAAGTCCCAGTGTATTTATATACACTGCGGCAAAATGTACCTTTAAGGAGAAAACATTGCTTCACTGTGACTATCTGAATTTATTGGCTATTAGAAGCCTTATAGTGTGTGGCTCACATTTTAGAACTCTGATTTCAAGCTTAATGTGGTCAGGAAATATAAAAATACATTTATTTATGTCATCTACTAAAAATCTCAACCTATGTTGCTGCTAGTCTAACCAGATCTGTGTTTATGTTGGGGATGAATGATGGGTTTGTAGCTGCCTGTGTTTCTAGCCAGGCTGAATGGAATGATTCTGCAGCAGAACTGTGTGTGTATTTCTTGTTTTTAACTTCTTTTTATTTACTGCATGTGGCAGCTATTTCCTTCCTCCCAGAAGCCACTGCCCAGCTCTCAAGGGCAGCACAGCACTCTGACTCCTATCAAGCTGTGTACGTGGAGTGATGTGATTTATTGAGTTGCTCAAGGTCATCAAAATTCAGGCAAATAGTTCATTCCTACCTGTTCACTGGTGCAAGCTTGGGCTGGATTTGCTTTTCCAAGTCTTCGGAGACTGCACATCAGTAGCTACTTTGGCTGATACTTGCACAAGCTTTCTTTGGTATTAATCTTTAGGAAAAGATCTTTGAGTATAATTTCTCCTCAGACAATCTCCAGAGGTCCCTTTAAACTTTACTATTCTCTAAGCTCCCACTTTTACTGGTCATGCTTAACAGATTTACATGCAAGGATAAGAAGATGCTGTTCATCATCACAGATCCATCCAAAGAAAGAAAGGGCTGGAAACAGATGAGATTTGCACTTTCAGGTTCTGCTCTAAATGGAAAGATGAAGGGAAAAATGATTTAGTGAATATAAACGAAGCAGTAAAAAGACAGCAGGACAGGACTCAGAGGAGCTCTGGAAGCCTCTTGGAAAGAAAATTAAGGGTTTGAGTCTTTATGATTAGAGCTAATATCTAATATCAAAGAAGTCATCTTGTATACAAGTGACTTGTGATCTTTTTTTGAACTGCAGGTGCCTAAAACTCCTCCAGTGGAGAGGGATGCATCTCTGTAGCAAACTGCAGCCTTCTGACAAGAGGCTTTTCTGTCTCAGCCTTGTTTCACAGTCTTCAGAAGTAGCCCCTGCCTCCAGCTGACTGTGAACCACAGGCTGGGGAGAACTGTTCTGCGTGATGAAGGCCACATATGCTTTTTAGCAACAGGCACAAAGACCTCTTGTATCATTTTTCCAGTCAAGGGTCCCTTGATAAACACTTTGCAGGAGGACATTTCTCTGTTGATCTAAAGTGACATATTGGAGTAAACCACGTCAGATGGGCTGCAGCAGCTTCGCTTCTGTTACCTTCTTTCACTTAAGCTTTTATATTTTTTTTTTGGTACGCTTGGCCTGTTTGTGGGATGAAATAATACACACAGTGATCACAGCTGACCTTTTATGTACCGTTAGAAACAGGTCTGACTCCCTTGAGCCATGAATGCAGAGGGTTTGGGATGTAATTTCCTGGAACAGGTACAACTGAGATGCTTTCATTGCTGAGATCCGCTCTGCAACGGGCAAGCCCTCTTGGCATCAGCACACTTAACCTTTTTGTTCAACACATTTCCCATCCTGTGTAGGTGGACAATGAATACTAATATGATGCAAATGATTTCCTTTTAAAATGTGAAGGCTCCCTGATTAAAAACACACTGTCCAGGAACTCTGGGTCTGTCCTATTCCCATTGAACAGAACTGCCCTTGTTGCCTTTGACTTTAGTGATTGTGGGATCAAACCCTTAGTTTCAAATAGGTTGCAAGTAAGTATTTTTTTCCTTAAGCTGGGGGTGAGTTAGCAGCTCAGTACAGAAGATGTAAAGAATGCAGAGGAAAAGCCAGGAGGATCTGGGGAAAAAAATCAGAGACGGAAAAAAAAGTGTTTAAAGTCTTGCTTGAGAGTCCAGAAGCTCATCAGAAAATCAGGAGCTGAGGTTGGTGGAAGGTGTCATGGGATTTCTTTCGGTATAACCAGGAGGAGAGGTGATGAAAGCTAAATTACTGTGCCTGGGAAAGTGCTGGAACTTCCACGATGTCTTGGGTTTGGTATACTCTGAAATGTGGTGTGGATCATGCAGCTACCTTCCTGGCTACTGGGAAAGTTATACCTTGGGGTTATTCACCCAGTAAGGAAATCATGTTTGAAGTCCTGTATATTCTCAGCTCCTTGTGCCAGCCCCTAAATGCATGTAGTGGGGAAAAAAAAACCCAACCAAAATCAATTTGGATAGGCCTTTTTCATGGGTGTGACTGAAAGAAAACCAACCAGCAGTAATGCCCACCAAGGAATCCCATGTAGAAAAATATGACAAGGCTTTAACACCAACAGAAACGGAGAGTCTGTTGTTCTGAATGGGCTGTCTCTGGAGTATTCACTTTATGAAAGCTCTTTGACTTCTATGAGGATTTCTATAGAGGTTAGTTATAAAGTAGCCCAGGTCTCCTGGGTT